GTTGAGGCTTGCCAAGTCCCCCTGGGGGGCGGGGAAACCCCCACCCCAGAGGCCTGTTCCCCGCCGCCGGCAGATCAGGCCCCGGGGGGAACCCGACCCCCAAAGCACGCGACGTGCACGTCACCCGGAAGTGACGCGACCATGGCGGGTACGCTGGGGGCGGGGCCACGGTCATCCGAGGGAAAACTCTATGCCGATCCGACTTGGGAACCCTATGTGGCACCTTAAAAGCAAACAGTGATGTATGAACATTATGTTTAAAATATCACTCCTTTTAAATTAATCTAATTTAAACCAGCAATTCAAGAACGCTCAGTGGGAGAGAAATCAAGCACTATGAATCAGTGATGTTGTGTTTTTAAGAGCACTGTTTTTTAGGATCGCTAGAAATACATTTGTTACGATTGCGTTTTCCATTTAAGAAATAGGCGGAATTTTTTCTTCTTTTTTAGACCCCAAACATCACTCCCCCACACAGTGACTCCAAGCAATCTTGAAATAGAAAACTCTGCTGCGTAGTTAGCCAGGTGTATACATTTTCCTAGTGCAGAGATTCAATGTAGGATGCTTACATTCTGAGGGATGTAAGCCATCTCTGTCTTTTACTCTGATGAGAGATTTGGAAATAATTAATAATTGCCTAAAGACCTGGGGTGGAACAACGTTTGAGTCCAGCGGCACCCTTAAGACCAACAAAGTTTTATTTATGGTATAAGCTTTCGTGTGCAAAGCACACCTCTTCAGATACAGTGCTTACACCACTGGACTCACTTTGTTTTGCTGCTTCAGGCCAACATGGCTACCCACCTGAACCTATCTCCTGGGATGGAGTTCAGCTTCTGGCATGCCGACATGAAACAACTGGGCAGACCTAGCCATTTGGGCTCTCCCGATTGATATGGATTTACTTCCCCACTTCCCCACCGGTACCTGTTGCCTGTCGGTGCCATTGATGCTACGCCGGTGACGACCTCTCTTGGGGTACCCGTTGACTTTGCATTCATAACAAGCTTCGGGGGACAAGAGGTTCTCCTCATCCTCCTCCAGAGGGGCAGGCAGGTAGGCCTCTTTGCCGAATCCCAGCCCAGAGACGCAGTGCCTGCAATTCCAAGGAAATGTGAGAGAGGGGATGAGATAGGAAGGGTATACTGCCCCCTAACCTCTTCCTGTCACCCCCTCTCTTTATCGATCTCTTCCTAGTTGGGTTATGTATATAGTAATTTTATTGTTAGCTATTAAGAAAAAAAAAGAAGAGAAGAGATTTATACCCTGCCCTTCCCTCGGAGTCTCAGAGCGGCTTACAAACTCCTTTCCCTTCCCCTCCCCATAACAGGCATCCTGTGAGGTGGGTGGGGCTGAGAGAGCTCTTGACAGAAACTGCTCTTTTGCAAGGACAGCTCTGATCAGAACTACGGCTTGCCCAAGGTCATCCAGCCAGGTGCAAGTGGAGGAGTGGGGAATCAAACCCGGTTCTCCCACTTAGAAGAAGAAGAGATTGGATTTTATACCCCGCCCTTCACTACCCAAGGGAGTCTCAGAATGGCTTACAAACTCCTTCCCCTTCCCCTCCCCACAACAGACACCCTGTGAGGTAGGCGGGGCCGAGAGAGCTCTTTCGAGAACTGCTCTTTCAAGAACAGCTCTGACAGAACTATGGCTTGCCGAAGGTCATCCAGCAGCTGCGAGTGGAGGAGTGGGGAATCAAACCCGGTTTTCCCAGATTAGAGTCTTAACCACTTAACCACTATACCACACTGTTTGTTTTAATTGTTTTAACTGTTCTGTGTATTCATATGTGACTTGCTGTGACCCACCATGCGCCTGCTTGCGGGGGAGGGCGGGATATAAATAAAATAAAATAAATAATAAAATAATAAAATAATATCTTCACCTCCCCTCATCTTCCACACATTTCAGGAAGGGAAGTCTTCGGGGGTTAGCATTGTTGAGCACCAGGGCTTTTTTGGTAGAAAAAGCCCAGAAGGAACTCATTAGCATAACAGGCCACACCCAAGAGCAGAAACTCATTAGCATATTAGGCCACACCCCTGACAGCACAGCTAATTAGCACATTAGACCGCACCCCCATGTTACCAGAAGTGTGGTCATCCAGCCACACCCACCTTTTGCTTGTTATTCTGTTTACCTTGTTTGTTGTCCAAACCCAGGGCTTTTTTTGTAGCAGGAACTCCTTTGTATGTTAGGCCACACACCCCCAATGTAGCCAACCCTAACGAGTTCCTGCTGGGCGTGGCCAACTCAGGAGCCAGCTGGAACTCCGTTCCTGTGCGTTCCTGCCCAAAAATAGCCCTGTTGAGCTCCTTCCGAGACCCAAGAACTGGCTGAGGTCATAACTTGGCTGGAGACCTTGGGTTATTTCCCAAAGGGTGAAATGCAGAGGAAATAAAATATATGACATTTTCACCGTTTGCTGACTCCACTCTTGACCTCTGCTGCTGGGAACTGAGGCCTGTGGCTTTGGATGCAATCTCTGATCCTTGCACGCAAACCTGAATTTGCAGTTCCTGGCTCATCTCCAATGAAATCATCTCCAGTAGGAGAGCCGGGAAAGAATTGCCTCTACCTGGACATCACGTGGAGCTGCTACCGGTCCAGAGGAGACAATATCTAACACCCACAACGATCCTGATGCAATCAATGGCTCATTTCCCAAAGACACAAAGTTCGCCGTAAGGGACAAGCGGCAGGTGAGCCAAAGGAACACAAAGCCGCAGCCAGCTGTGCGCGCACCAATGCCAGAAGTCATTTCAGGAATCTTGGTTAAACCAGACCCACATAGGACACTACAAAGAAGTTTAGGGTTGGGATGCCAACTCCCGGCTCTTGATCGTGTGCAGTTAACATCTGGACCGACTGTCAGGAACCTGGGTGTAATCCTGGATGCCTCCCTCTTAATGGAGGCACAGGTCGCAAATGTAGTTAAACTTGCGTTCTACCACCCGCGCCCGGTTAAACAATTGGCTCCCTTCCTGTCTCCCCCCAGACCTAGCCATAGGGATCTACGCAACAGTCTCCTCCAGATTGGATTACTGTAACTGGCTCTACGCAGGGCTACCCTTCAGAGTGACCCGGAAATTGCAACTGGTCCAGAATGCAGCTGCGTGGGTGCTTAGGGGAACGCCCTTCAGAGCACGTATTCAGCCAGTGGTCTATCAGCTGCACTGGCTCCAGATTGAAGATAAGATCAGGTTCAAGGTTTTGGTGTTAACCTTCAAAGCCCTAAACAGTCTGGGACCAGCAGACCTTTGGGACTGCCTTTCCTGGTATACCCCCCAAAGAGCGTTGTGCTCTAGTGACCAAAACGTGTTGGTGATCCCTGGCCTAAAGAGTGTCTGGCTGCCCTCAACCCTCCAGCCTGGTGGAACACTCAGCTAGGTGGAACACTAGCTGAGATCCAGGCCCTGAGGGATGTGATGCAGTTCCACGGGGCCTGGTGGAACACTAGCTGAGATCCAGGCCCTGAGGGATGTGATGCAGTTCCACGGGGCCTGGTGGAACACTAGCTGAGATCCAGGCCCTGAGGGATGTGATGCAGTTCCACGGGGCCTGGTGGAACACTAGCTGAGATCCAGGCCCTGAGGGATGTGATGCAGTTCCACGGGGCCTGGTGGAACAGTAGCTGAGATCCGGGCCCTAAGGGATGTGATGCAGTTCCGCGGGGCCTGTAAAACAGAGTTGTTCCGCCGGGCCTATGGTCAAGGACAGTGATGGGTTGCATCTCTAATAGCTTCCCCCTCCTCTCCCTCTCCCCCCTTCTTCTCCTCTCTCCTTTCAAATCAGAGAGATTATATATCACTCCCCTCTGAGTGTGTATGCCATCTTTTAACTATGTTGCTGGTTTACAGTATTATGTATTTTACAAGGGGTGGACCCGCGATACTCGCGGGCGGGGGGAGGCAGAGGAGGAAGCAGCAGGAGAAGGTAAGTACCCCTCCATCCTGCTGGTTCCCCCGGTGTCCTCCACCCCCCCTTTCGATCCGAGGCTGGGCGGCGTGCAGTCGCCCGGGCCAGGCCGGCTGCAGAGCGTTCCCTGCGCATGCGCAGGGGACGCTCTGTCAGTTTTGGGGGGATTTAAACATCCCTCCGATATTTTTGACAGGGTTTCTGATTTTTGTGCACACGTGGGAACTGCCCCACATGTGCACAAAACTCTCCCTCCCCTCCAGGTCCCCCCGGTGCGCGGATTTAGCTATCCGCACACCAGGGGGCGACTTCAGTATTAGTATATAGATTATATATGATTAGGTATTTTATTGTATTTATGCACTAGTTATATTAATATTGAATTGTTAAATGATATTACCTGCTCTGAGCCTGGACACAGGGGAGAGCAGGATACAAATCCAATAAATAGAACCAAATCAAGGTGCGCAACGAGACATTCCAGAAGCAGAGAGGAACAAAATGGGGGACACTGGCTCATTTGCCCTTGTCAACTATCTGCTTGGCTTTAACTGAGGCTCATTTTATTACCCCCCCTCCCTACCAGGGACGGTGGCTATCATAACTGGAAAGAAAATCCCACACACTCCCCACCTGCAGGTACATTGGCGTTCATCCTAACTGATGTAAGGTCATGCACTTACCCTTGTCCTGCCCGAAAGTACCCACTGGGGCAGCCACACAGGTAGCCTCCCTCTGTGTTGGAACACCCATAGCTGCAGGGGCTGCCCCCTGCTGCGCACTCGTTCACATCTTGGCAGCCCCCAAAGGCCTGGTCAAAGTCGAAGCCGGAGGGGCAAATGCATTTGAAGCTCCCCAAGGTGTTGTAGCAGGAGGCCGAGCCACAGGTTGTCGAGCTGGAGCACTCGTTCTCATCTGGGGCCAAAAGTGGAAAGAGGGATAGCCGGGGGGGTCATGGTGTACCTGATGTCCAGAAGGAGCCCCAATTCTGGGAGAAGCTGCCAACCAATCCTAGCGACAGACTTACCCACACACTGGTTCCATTGGTAGTGCTGGATGTACCCTTGGGGGCAGCCACAGCGGTAGCCCCCCAACACGTTCTGGCATCCGTGTTGGCACCGGTGGTTCCCGTCACACTCGTCCACATCTACAGTAAAAGAAAAAGGCCCAAGGGTCAAGGATTGAGTAGAAGAAAAAGAAGAAGAAGCAGAGAAGAGATTGGATTTATACCCCGTCCTTCACTCGGAGTCTCAGAGCGGCTGACAATCTCCTTTCCCTTCCTCTCTTCACAACAGACACCCTGTGAGACACGTGGGGCTGAGAGAGCTCTGACAGGAACTGCTCTTTCAAGAACAGCTCTTGTCAGAACTATGGGGTTCTGAGCACCTCAGGGTGATCTTGCCGGTACTTGGCCTGTGCAGCTCAGTGCCCCGCTGGAGTACTATGTGCAAATGTCTTTGCCACATTCCTAAGTTGCCTCCTCCTTGTAGCGTTGGTGTATCTGGCTCAACGTTTGCCAGGAGCTTTCTTGGGGCAGTAAGAGGTGAGAGGTGTGAGGGGGAGTTGGTGTGAGGGAGTGGTGACGTGGTGGACATTTCTTCAGGTTCATGAGGGAGGCACACATTGAAATGGCTCCTAGAAATGTCCTTTACTATCTCCCCATAAACATTCATACCCTGGCCCTGCTCCTATACCTGACAGACACCAGACTGTCTGATGTTTGGGGGGATTGGATTTAAAGGCATTGGGGACCCCTCCCTGGTGGCTGTAAGCATCCCACCTCCTCTCCTACACCTGACAGGCAGATGCCTGTCCAGTGTAGGAGGGGGGGAGTATTAGAAGCCATTGTGGAGGCAGGGCCAGAAGGATCACTAAGGCGTTATTGCTGGGGTGGGCTCCCTCATGGCTTTAAGCACCCTGCAACCGCTGCTGCACCTGATAGACAACTGCCTGTTAGGTGTAGGAGGTGGGGGGAGTGTGTTGGAAGCCATCCCACCTCGTCTCTAGACAACCGCCTGCTAGGTGTAGGAGGTGGGGGAGTGTGTTGGAAGCCATCCCACCTCCTCTCCTACACCTGACTGGCAGCTGCCTCATGTGGGCAGGGGTTGCCCTTGGCCGTTGCTCTATTCAAAGCATGTGTCCATGCGCAAACCGAAAGAGAAGGTGCATTTGAAACTGGGGCCGAGGGAAGATGTATCCAATATTGGTTACTATTTTTCATTGTTAGTTGCTGTTGTTAATAATAATTTTTTCACCTCGGACATTGTATGAGGTTTAACTCCTCTCTTGGTTTCCTTATGACTTGGGGTTTCCCCACATTCTCATTTTTCTCACTTGTAAGTTCCTGTTTCTTCGTTGTTATTGTTTTCTGTTCCAGACGTGTTTTGCTCCCTCTAGTGGTCAGTTCAGTATCACGTCAGTTTATGCCCGGCATAAAAACCTGCAGTTTAAATCTGCAAGGAGATACGCCTGAGATGAACGGATGTAATAGCGAATTGAGCACTAGAAGGAATAGACCACATGAGGAACAGACCCCCCCCCCCCGAAGAAACAGGAACTTAAAAGCAAGGAAAATGGACTTGGAAATATCATGCAGACTCATATGACGGGACCCCTTTAATTGTTCACTTCTTGCTTCCTTTCTACAAAAGGCTAGTGAAGACACGAACAAGACCCGAGTTTTCTGTGATGTTACTACCTCAGTGTGAAAACAAATATGAGCAGATGTGGCACAAGAGCTAAGACTGTGAGCTAGGAAATGCCAGAAGGCCAGCCGCAGATCTCCAATTCTCAACCCCCCCGACCATATTATGGGGGTTACTAAAACTGGAAGATGGAGGAAAAGATCCACAGAGATGTTTTAAAGCTGACTTAGTTGAGCTGCATTGCAGATATATAGACTTATCCCAGTTGGAAGCTGAGAAAAGATCTTTTTGGGGCACAGATTTTTAAACCTCAGCCTGTCTCCCAACTGTGTTCCTTCATACATATTGTGGTGCAGGAGCAGCAGATGCCTCTGAATTTATTTATGTTAAATAAATATGTCAAAGATTCAGATAAAAATTGAAACTGGTGCAATGAAACAACAAAATACTAAATCTTATAGCTGCTTGAAGTTGGGGTTTTGCTCCTCCTGTGTCCTTTAGTGGCAGCAACTGGTTACTGCCTGAAACCAGGGCAGCATAACTACCATAAAGCATGCTGCTGAAAAAGGTAGTAAGGCAACAGCTCCCCAATACCTTCACAACTGCTGCCGGAACTGTCAAGAGCAAATCCTTTCTGGCATTCACAGTTGTAGCTCCCAGGAGTGTTCAGGCATTGTCCTTTAGCCCCACAAAGGGTGGGCTGTGCTGTGCATTCGTTGTTATCTGCAGGGGGATCACAAGATTGCATGGTGTGTGAGCAGTCCAGGGAACAAGCTCTGCCCACCCACCACCAGGACTCACACATACGTGTCAACACAACTATTTAATTGTACCATCTAGACTATCCAAGGGTGATGTAACACTGATTTGGGAATCACTGGGAGGAATTTTCTCCATACGAAACTGGAAGGTAACTCCAGGGATCTTGGGACTCCCTTGATAGCATGTGACTGGGCTTGAGACCCTTAAAATTACCTTCCTACTGACTATCTGGATAGCCCAGGCTAGCCTGATCTCATCAAATCTCAAAAGCTAAACAGGGTTGGCCCTGGCTAGTATTTGGATAGGAGACTTCCAAGGAATACCAGGGGTGTGACACAGAGGCAGTACCTAGGGGTCATTTTGTAGAAAAAGAGGTGTAGGAGCTCATTAGCATAACTTATTTGCATACACCACTCCCCCTGACATCACCGGAAGTCAGAAGGCAACAGCCACTCCTCAGGCTCCACTGGACTGTTTTGGATTGCTAGCTATGGGGGGGGGGGATGGACATGCAGATCTGCCCTCATAGAGGAGGGAGAGCTTGTACCTGAATAAAACTTGGTCTTAAAGGTGCCACTGGACTGTTTTCAATTGCTAGGTGTGTGTGGGGGGAACGCACAGATCTGCCCTCACATAGATCTGTGCAGAGAGAGAGGGAGAGAGAGCGGGAGAGACGGAAATAAGGAGGGAAACAGGGAAAGAAGGAGACAAGGAAAGAAGGAGGGAAAGAAAGAAGGAAAAAAGGAGGAAAAGAAAGAAAGAAAGAAATAGAAGGAAAGAAGGAGGGATAGAGGGAGAGAAGGAGCAGGGGGCGGGGCTTGTTACATGTGCCCACCCCCTGGGCTCTTTACTGCCGGAGCTCTGCTCCTGTGCGCTCCTGCAGGAAATGACCCCTGGGTGTACCTACAATAGTCATGGTAATGATAGAGTGAAATACAATCTATTTTTTAAACATTAGATTGTTCCGCATTCTCATTTTCCTCACTTGTGTCCTCCTTTGCATGTGTTTTGATTTAATATTACATCACTTTATGTTCTGCATAAAAACCTGCAGTTTAATTCTGCAGGGAGATATGCCAGACATAAATAGATGTAACATCAAATTGACCACTAGAGGGACCAAAACACATGTGGAACAGATTGTCCATCAACTTTCCCCACACTCTCTTCTTTGTCCCCTCCCGAACTTTCTTTTATCTGGTCCCCCAGGAACTGTTAACCTTCTGTTTTGGGTGGGAGGAAGGGTGACTCACCAATACAGGAAGAATGATGCTGGGTGAATCCAGGGGGACACTTGCAATTGAAGCCCCCAATGACGTTAACGCACAAGAACTGGCAGTTGTGTTGTTTTGTGGAGCACTCATCCAGGTCTGGACCACCGAGAAAACAAGAGCGGGTTAATCTTTCCTTTAGTGAAGCTGACTACACCAGAAACTGCTGACAGTCCGGTTTGGTCAATTTCTCCATTCCGTTTTGTGATATGGAACAAAAAGAAGTGGATGCAATTTGGGCATCGTCAATATTTATTTATTTAAATTTATTGATTTATTTATTATATTTATACGCCCATGACCTCTGTCTCCTAAGCAACTCAGGACTCAAGAACAAACATTGTCCCAGCAGACTGTGGAGCCATAAGGCCCACCAGATAGGTGTAGGCAGCCAAGTGAGAGTGTACCCTGCCCTCCCTTCTGTTTCCCTTGCAACCACTCTCCCACATGGTTCTCTGTTTGTTATGGAGGCTGCTGGCGGCCATGTTCCCCTTTGATCCGCAAGCTCTCTCCAATGACATAGCCCTATCCCGTAATGATACATCACTCCTAAAAGTGAACTTGATAGTCAAACGTCTATTGCAAAATGAGTAAAA